ATATAAAATAAAATTTGGTCAGATAGGATTTTGAGCTCTATTTCAAATAGGAAACATGCAAAAGAATTAAACATGAGACTAAACAAAGTTGTATTATTGCTGAAATGACCATTTTTAAAATTTAAAAAAAACCCTACTACTCCAACAAGTAATATTTCTGCTTTATATGCACACGTTTTCATTTTTTTCTTATATAGATTTGTACATATATTACAATTACATAGTCTTAGAGAATAAAGATATGTAATCTACATTAAGAAAACTGACATGATTAGGCAGGGCTTTTCTGCTTAATCTACCACTTTGGAGAAACATTCAAGACTACTGAGCACAAGCTCACTCTGTACATTCCCAGTGGCTAAGGTGTTTTTGAGTAGACCCTATCTGACCCATTGTTTTTGCAGTCCCATCCCCTCATTAAGCTATCACGTGACTATGAAGAGACAGCGCCAGACATCAAAATGTTCTTACACTGGTCATATGGAGCTCAGCATCTGCTCATTCCTGTCCATGGTCTTCTTTGATACTTTTTGTATTTAAAGTGGACTCTAGGGACCAAAGAGATGGCTCAGTAGAATAAGTGCTTGCCTGGCAAGCGCAAGGGCCTGAGTTCAATCCCCAGTTTTGCAAAAAAAAGAAAAGAAAGAAAGAAAAAAGAAAAATAAAATGGACTCTAGGCAATGGCAAAGGAAACTGGAACACCAGACAGTTGTTACACTTGAGGTTCAAGCTGCTTTTGGTCCTCATCCTTATGGGAGTGGATATCATCTTCTCTCCACTTAGGGACCTTTAAAGGAAACAAAATTGGGACACTTTAAATTTCCAGCTCTGGACCTGTCATAAGTTAATATAAAAACAGATGTATATTCTGTAATTGTTATCCAATCTTAGAACTAGGAATAAAAATTATTTGGGTTGAATGACCCAAATGAAAATGAAAGACCGACAATATCTATCTCATCCACCTTGATTCCATTCTCTTTCCCAAACCTTTTCACCCTGGAAATATCCAGGCATCTCCCACTCTTAAATCTTGCAGGATAGCAGAAAATGTCAATGGAGTAAAGAGGGAGGAAGTGGAGGAGAGAAAGAACTTGACGTTGTATTATTTATTTATAGGCTCTTTTGATGAGTATTTACTCAGTCTTCAACCTTAAAAGGTTCCATTTGCTTTTGTCCACTTTTATATCTTGTATAATATCTCACAGTTGTCAAATATCCCATCGTTTTTTATGAGTAGCTTTTTATTAGTATGAAAGGACTGAAAGGACATTTGTCAGATATCTTTTCTGCTTTGGAAGATACTCTCTGTCACCTATACTTTGATCTGGCTGGACACATTGCCTCTTTCTCTGGAGAGTTCATCCAGCTGCATCATGTATGTGATGTACAGGCATGCAGTCAGTCATAAGGCGAGCAGGTTTCTACTTGTTGGATTAATTACATCTTTGTCTAGAATATGGTACAGTACCTCCCAATAAACAGAATCATCATAGCAGTACTCGTTGGAGGGGTGTTCCCAGCAAGGTATCTTTAGAATTAAACCTGTAAAGATAAGCAAAATAAATCCCATTGCAATGCCACAGAGGAAAATACTTCCCTAGTAATTGAAATAGTGGGATAAAATCATCCCCTTGAGCTGACATACCTCACTCCTAGAGGCTTAGACAGCTTTAAATTTACCAGGTGCCCTGCTCGTTAGTCACCTATTATGCTGAGAGCATGGGGCTTGAGGAAGCATGGGGTGTTTCTGCTGACCTGTAACCACACCTCCAGCAACTGCTGTTCCAATGGACGAACCAAGTGCTGCGGCCTGCATGGCGACAGTAGACCTAAGAAGCCAGATACAGAACGTTGGCGCATTTCCTGGAAACCAGTGGAGGAAGCTGACCTACTCAAGCCCCCTGTGGGCAATACTATGCTAGGACAGAGCATAGTATTGCACATTAGCAGATTGTGAGTTTTTTCTTTCAGCTTTACATTGTCACTGAGACTCCTGAAGAGTTTAGAAAACTAGGTGTATTTAAACAAGAGAAACCATCTGATGCATCTTCAGGAATAAGAATATTCCTTTGTAAAAGTTGTGTGCTCTCAATAAATGATCTCTAATTTGATTTACTCAGTCAATAGTGACTACCAGCCATATGTCAGCTTTTGTTCTGAACAGGATGGGGTAAGTATAAAACAGCATTCACTACTGTCTCTGCACTGTAGTTCAAATAAACAATTACAGTGAAATTAGAAAATTGATCAGTAAGTTCAGAAGTGCAGGTTTTCGCAGTCATAGCAGAATCACTGAAGACAAGTATGTGTGTGTCATCTTAAAGAGCAGTTACACAAACAGCTTGGGAGTACAAGGTGATATAAAGCTGCTGGGATCCTGAAGGCAATACACGAGTGACAAGCTAGGAATGCGGGTGTCTCAGTGCTCCCCGGATCAAGTGATTCATAGTTGTGGAAAGACTGAATGAGGGGTTTTAGGGAGACAGACACTTGAAAAGTGAGTTCACTGGTGTGTTTGCTTTGGGGCCCAGGGGCATCACTAGAATCCAAAGAATGTACTAAATGAAAATACGAGATCACAAAACAAAAAGGAGAAATTTAATATCCCTCAAGTCCCATTAAAATAGAAACGTAAGATAAAAATATGTGTATTTGTTTATTTATTTTGTAGTACCGAGGATTGAACTCAGGACCTTGTACTTGCCAGGCAAGCGCTTGTTCTACTTAACTATCTCCCTAGCCCAAGGTTTTATGTACTTATTTATTAAAAAAAGTTTTTTGTTTGTTTGTTTGTTTCTTGTGGTGCCAGGGTTTGAACTCAGGACCTTGTGCTTGCTAGGCAAGTGCTTAAGCTAATGAGCTATCTCCCCAGCCCTAGCTGGGATTACAGGTGCACACCACCACGGCCAGTCTCCATTGCATCTTAGGGTGCCCCAGGGGCGGGGCTGGCACAGCAGGCCTGGGAATCCAACCCCTGGCCCTTGCACCTGCTTTCAGGCACTTTAATTCGCTGAGCTATTTTGCTGGCCCTGAAATATGTATATTTATGAAAATGCAATCATATTATAGTACTCAATTCTCATTAAATATGCCTTAAATTTTCCTTCATGTCAGGAGACAAAGATTTGGACTATAATAGAACTGCTGCAGAATGATGCGTGGCACACATGTACATAATTACCATTTTACACCTTGATACTTGGTTGCTTTCAGTGTTTCCTTTCTTAAACAATTCTGGGGACTGAGGAGATGGCTCAGTGGAATAAGCACTTGCCTGGCAAGCACAAGGGCCTGAGTTCAATCCCTGGTTCTACCAAAAAAAAAAAAAAAAAAAATTCCGTAAGGACTTATTAAATATGCTGTTAAACTTGTCTATCTTCCTAAGGTAAAACCTACTTAGAAATATGATCAATTGGAAGGCTGATATGTATTTTTTGTGGCTTTTTCCAAGCAGGAAATTGTATATTTAATATTATTGTATCTCTGCTTTGAGTACCACTCAGCTTTATTCATTTATTCTTTATTAGTTTGATATGTAAGAAACTGATTTCAATTTGCATTTCTTTAATCACTATTGCTACTGTGATGGTAAACATCCCGCCCCCGTCAGGGGTCGACTCTTGACAGTGAGAGGAAACGGCCCCGAAGCTAGGGATAGGAAAATCCCTCGTTCTACTCACATGTTGGACACTCCCAACGCTATCACCACAATGCTTGAGAGACCTCCAATCAGGCCAGGTAAGCCATGCAGGTTGTGCACCCCACATGTGTCGTGGATCCTCAGTGTGGTGGCAAAAAATGGCTGAGATCATAAACAGAGGAAGGGCTGTTACTTTGTTAGACATACACAGCTCTGTAACAATTGCAAGAAGAAAGTTTTATGAATTATATTTATGTATTATAATATAAAGCTTATATTTAAAATATACAATATGTTATACAATACCTACAAATAGTAAAAAAGCTACTGTAGTAAAAACATAACTTTCTATCACCTTTAAAGTCACCTTTATTTTTTGTGGAATGAACAGCTACAGTGTACTTATTTTGCATGAACTTTGTGAACATTTTTAAACCTGCCGACTGCTTTATATCCTCTCACCTACATCTCTCCATTTCCTTTACCACCCAATAAGTTTTATATATAGCTCAGTTCTGCATCAAGATTGAAGTCTCCACATAAGTCAGATGGCGTGCATGGATGACAAACTGCTGTTTCTGTCCCTAATAGCTGGGTCTGATTTCAGGCCCCACTCCTTACCTGGTGACATCCCAAAACTCTTAACAGAAGACAAAATCCTTAGTTATACAAAACAGAACTAAAAAATATTCAGTGCAAATTCTCTTGAGGAAAACAGCACAAACATGTAACACAGAATTCAGGCTAAATTACAAATAACAGCAGAGCTGCTTCTGCCTCACGGAATGAGCGGATAGACCCCCGGGGCCCCCGAAAGGTGAGCGCCACATCTGAGGGGAAGGCGAGGGCCTGCAACAACATGGGAAGATGTCTATGAAAGGAAGCAGCGGATCACTCTGTGTTGTCGATGTGCTAAAGAGGACGGTGCAGATTCGAGGCCTGACCTAGCAGCCGTGGCACTCACAGTCAGGTACTTGTATCCGAGCACAGAGACGAGTCCTGCGATGCTCCCGATGATCATAGCCACGTACGGCTGGATGTCCATGTCCGCGCAGGTGCCCACAGCGACTCCGCCGGCCAGGGTGGCGTTTTGGATGTGAACCTGTGCGGGGTGGAAGCGCAGCGAGGGGAGCAGCGTCAGCAGGCTCAGCGCCCCGTGCAGTGTTCAGCAGAAAGGGCTGCTGTGGAAGCGCAACAGAGAGCTTTTAACTCGAATGACCTTGTGTGTCAACGTGGTCGCAGTCACTGTCTCCTTGGGCGCCGGGGCACAGTGCCCAGCAAAGCAACCTAAAGGAGATCATTCCTTTGGCTCACACTTTTAGCCCGTAGACCGCTGCCTCCAGGACGCAAAGGCACGGCGGAGGGCGCAGCAAGCAAGGCTGGGCAGGTGCTTTAGATTGTGCAGAGAGCCCAGGCTGACAGGAGGAGTAGGGAGGGAGAAAAGCCTCCGGGTCACAGGGACTCCGGATAGCCCGCTCCCACCCCGCGCAGCGGACTCCTGCCTGCCCCCAATCCAGTCACCTCCCCAAATCCCACCCGCGAACCAGAACCCAAGAGGCTCACAAGGGGGAGACAGGTAGATATAAACCGCAACGAAGTTAAAGCAGAACTTTAAGTCCCTACAGAATATGATGAAAAAACATTAAAAATTAAAATATATTTTGAAAATAGGCATAAAGAATTATATAAATTTAAAAAAGTTAAAGCAGAAGCATGAGAATGACATCATCCATGTAAAAATATAAATTAAAAACGTTGTTGTAGTTGTACAAGACCTTTTTTTGTCCCAAGTGATTGACATTTGATATCTTTCTGGCCGGGGTCCCTTGGAAGAGGGTTGGTCATGGGGTAAGTGTAATCCCATGCTGGATGATGGGAGAAAATCAAAAGAAGCGCTAGTGCGGGTTGTGTGTGGAGCAAACGCTCTGGTAGCGCCCTGTGTGTTTGTGCAGTCTATAGTACACATTGGTCATTGGATGCAAAAGGAAACTCTTGTTACTGTGCGCACTGTAAAGTTTATAATACACCAATCTTCAAAGGGAGAAGGCAGAGAATACAATGCATAGGAAAGACCGTGACTGTTGCACGTGTCCCTGTTCCATGCACAGTGGGGTGGTGAGGAAAGAGGATCCGTTTCTCGTTAGCAGAATTCTGGAGAAATGACAATTCGCCAGCTCTGCTTGAGCAGGAAAATATATTTTTAAAAAGAGAACCAATGAGCCATGCCTGTAATCCCATCATTCTGGAAGAAAAAAAACAAAAATGCCCTGGGGAAGTAGCTTGGTGGGAAGACCAAGGGTTTAATTCTTAGTATGATCAATCAGTCAGCTAATCAATAACCATGCTGTACATGGATGACTTTTGTTCAGTTTCTGGTACGGCTACACTGCTAGAGACCTTATTAAATTTCACTGCTAGTCCCACTAATTTCCTTTTACATTTTCAGAACCCCACTAAGGCTATCATGTTGCACTTAGTTGTTTCATTGAGAAGAATTTTTGAGATTGGGAAAATAGAACCAACATGCACCATATTATTTTCTTACACTTTTAGGCAAGTCTTGCTTTTAGGGAAGATTTTCTAAAACTTGGGAGCAATTAGCTCTGGTATTAAAGGGATATATACCTTAAACATTTGGTTTTATATATTACGTTTCCTACCAAACAACATTTTAAATTGTCAGAATAAAAATTTGATGAGTGAATGAATGAATATCATTTTCAAAACATTTCTCCATGATCTTAAACTATGTCATTTGTCCTGCTATCCTAGTGTTCCAAAAGTGACCGCTTACACGGGCAGTTGTCGGTGTCACTAAGCACCTGGGGTACACAAGGACTCACCATGTTCAGCTTGCCCCGGTGCATGACGAGGCTGGACATCGCATAGGCCGTGAGGACGCAGGCGGCCAGTGAGAAGTAGGTGTTCACGATGGCCTTATACTGGTGGTCTCCAGCTTCAGCAATGGCGGAGTTGAAGCTCGGCCAGAAGATCCATAGAAAAAGAGTCCCTGCAAAAGTAAGGAGGGCATCAGTTCCAAGTGGGGACGACCACGCAAGGTGGGCAGCTTGCTCTGTACAGTGCTAAAGCCTCTAACTGGAGGCTCAGTCCTCTAAGGAGAGAAACAGGGCCCCGAGCAAAGTGGCCACCCCAGGAAGTGCCTTTTGAGCCTCTTTGCTCCTCCAGTGAAGTTCACTTTCCCGAATGCCTGACCAAAGGGACAAGAGTCAGGCCAGTTCATCCCCACTCACCAATCATTGCAAATAAGTCAGAGTGGTACACAGACTCTTCGTTCTTATGCTCCTCTCTCAGGCCAGATCGATACAAGATGCCTGCGACAGTCAAGCCAAAGTAGGCCCCAAAGGCATGGATCGTCATCGATGCCCCAACATCAGAGGCCTGAGGTGACAAAAAGACACTAGTGTGAACAGAGGTGAATCTGAGTTATGGAGGAAAATCAATGAAAGAATGGCTTTATTGGTTACACAGCAAAGAGAAAAGAGAAAAAGGAGCAAGAATCTGTTTGAAAAAGGTTAAAACAGGACAGAAAACAAAGGACAGTTTGGTCTCTAAAGCCTTGAAGCTTCAATAGCTCCAATCAGTATTTCAATATCTCAAAATTTCAATGCAGATTTTCTGCATGTTTTTTCACTCTGTGATATGATGTAAAAAACAAATGGCTTCCAAGACCGCTATGAAGAGACATATTTTGGTCTCTTCATTACACAGTTGGCATTTCACTCTGCATTCTTCATTTTCTGACTTGAGGGCGAAGCTCAGTGTGCCCAGCCTGCAGCCGTCTCTGTATGTTTTAAGACAGGAAAATGATAGAAAGGTATTTACTTAAGATTTTCAAATTCAAGTTCAAGTGCCAAGAGTGCTGTGGTTGTTTTCTACCTTTTATTAGACACAGAGAGATGGAGGGCGTACATACACAGCGGTTCATTGTAGATCTTCATTTGGTTGGAATGAGTTTAAAGTACATTTTCCCCCTCAACATCCTGAGGAAATGCTGGGAACGCTTCATGCCCAGCTTACATGTCACTTCCTCTGAGAGCCCCTTCTTGCTTCTACAATCTGAATTAGTTAACACTTTCTCACACCCATCCCCCAGTTATTCTTTGTGTCTTTGGGTGGATGGGTATGTACCATTAGTTTGAGTTTTCTGTCCCCCAGTAGGTGGTAAGTTCTTTATAGAGAGACCTTCATTATTTTGTGCCACCGAAGCACCCATATCTAGAAAATTTTTCAAAATATTTGTTGTTGAATTTAATTTGCAACAGAAGTATAAGAAATACTGGAGAGTCTCAAAAATGTTATATTATTCTTGGAAGAAATGTGATTTTTCATGAGGGGAAAGGAATTTGACATAGATATTTACAAAAACTTATGTTAGTATGGATGCTGCCAAAGTGAGCCCTATAAAAACTTACATAAGGTTTGATAGAAGCAGTTGTTGACTAATAATCAAAATGTAGGTAGAAGCTGATCTCTGGTAGATTGCGTAATAAAATAAAGAGTTGTAGAGTTTAAAAAAGTATATTTAATCCAGACTCAGACAAGTCATTTAACATCTGAGGCCATCAGGCTTACTGTGTATAAATGACAACAACAGAGATCCTTATCTTACGTTGTCCTTGTGAAGGGGAAAGGAGATGCTTCCAAAACCCCTCTTTTGTCATAGGCAAATAAACAAGAAGCAATAAATAGACATCATAAGTAAACGCTGGCTATCATTGCTCTGACTGGGCACCCAGTGTGTGTTTGGTTAGAGTCGATGATGCTCAGAGGTAGGAAAATAAAAGTCTTCTTACCATAAATATCTCAGCAACCAGAAACTCATTGGCAGCAAAAGCAGCAATTTCTAGAATTGTCATGATCAACATTTGGATAGGGCTTGTTTTTCCCAAGACAGCTCCAAAAGAAATTAGAACCGTGGCTGTACTAAAGTCTGCATTGATCATTCTGAGGGAAAAGAAAGAAAAATCAAAGAGTAAAACACAGCAGTCGTAAACGGTGACTTGAAAGGCTGAGTGTACAGCATCTCTCCTTGCATCAGGCTTCATCAGGGTCCTCCCCCTACTTCCTTCTACTTCTTTTCTGTGACCCTAGGATCTATGTCAGTGATGGTGAACCTATGGCACACAGGCTGCAGTCGGCTGTTCATATCTTGGAAAGTTTTGTGATGTAGTTCTCTTTTAGGACAAGAGATTGCTTTTTCCAAACTAAAACCTCAGTGTTTGGGTTTAATTGCAGTGTTAGCACTTTGCAATCAGTAAGTGGGTTTGGGGATTGCAGTTTGGGTACTTGGTCCCTAAAAGGTTCACGTCACTGCTCTAGGTGATCTCAGTACTCAGTTTTTACCTGTCCTTGATTTCATTAGAGGTTTTGGTTAAGTTCAGCTGATAAATGAATTACTTCCACAAAAATAAAAACAGTTGTTTACATTTTAAAAACACTTTTCACAAAATGACTAACAAGGTGGATTTACTCTTTATGGAAGATTTCGTGCACATTTAAAGTCAAACCAGCAAAGTTAGAGACATGAATGAATGACCCAGTGCAGTAGAGCAAGGTGTTGATGTGGATTCTTAGATTTCTGCGAGCTTCTGTTGCTTAAGGTGGCATTTTCCAGACAGCTCAGAGCCTCAGTGAAGCTCAGGGAAACAACCAATCTAAAACAAAGGGTTGCTATGAATTATCTTGGTCTGTTTGTGCTACTATAAGAAAATACCATAAACCAAGTAGCTTATAAACAATAAAGATTTACTTCTCATAATTCTTGAAGTCAAGATCCTGACAGATTTTTTTTTTTTTCTGGTTAGGGCTAGCTTTTTGGTTCCTAGAGGGTGCCTTCTAGCTGTGGCCTCAGTGTGGTCTGAGACGAAGAGTCTCTCTTGAACCTCTTTTACAAGGACACTGTTATGGTTTATAGGCAGGATACCTTCCCAAGGTATCATTTGAACACAACTAGGACCTTTGGGAGGGTTATTGCAGCTAGACAGTGGGGCTTGGTTGGCAGAGACGGGCTTCTGTGGGAGTCTCATGGAAGGCTCTCCGTCCCTGGGCTGTCTGCTCTGGCTCACCATGACGTGAGTAGTGTTCTTCCTCTGCTGTACTTCTGTGCTATTTCCCCGGCCATAACACCGGCCCATGAGGGACTGCAACGTGGGCCAAAAGAAACTTCTAAGTGGAAGGTGGTGTGTACTGAGGAAAATAACTTAGAAGGGCACTAATTCCCTTCCGGGGAGCCCGGCCCTTGTGACTGAACAACCTCCCGCAGGCTTCCCCTCCCATCATCATCACCTTGGGGGTAAAGACTTCATCATATGTGTGGGGGTGCAGGGGACCCACCATTCAGGCAGACCCTAGCATGCCACTTACTCCTTGATTCCGATGTGGAACTTCTGGCCCTGGGAGTGGAGCAGCCCCTGTGCAATCGTGCCCCACTGGAGGCCCAGGGCAGCAATGAGCAGGTTGAAGCCCACACTGCTGAAGCCATATTTCTTCAGAAATGTCATGAGGAAACCAAAACCCACGAATATCATCACGTGCACATCTTGAAATACTGGAAAAGAGCAGAGGGGGAAAGTCTGTATGTGGAAAGCACAGAGTGTCAAGTTACAGCGTAAGCTGGGACTCAAAATGTAGCATGTGTTTATTTTATTTACTTATTTATTTTTTATGAGCAGAATATATTTATTGAGAGAAAGAAAGCTCCTGTCCAACAGAGGGACAGGAGGGAGGCCCGAGCGGGAAGTTCCCCGTGTAGTATGTGTTTAAAATTTAAAATTTTATAGTACAGCTAAAGGCAAATTGCCATTAATCTTCCTCAGTGTACTCAAAATGCTCTCACTTCTGTGGTGCGCACCGTCCCTCCTGTCACTCTGAAGGAGTTCTGGAAGGCCTTTGTGGTGTCTTCAGTTCCTCTGTTGTGACTTCCTAGATGCCCTGAATCTATTCAGGTTGCTTCAGTTTCATAGCCATTTATACTTGGAGTAGCAGTCAGAGTCCCAGAGCCTGTGCCTGTGGTGAATGCAGCCACACCGGGATGCTTCAGTGAGCCTCCTTCCCTCGGGAGGACCCTGGGGAGCACCATTCGCCATGCTTCTGTGAGCCTCCTTCCCTCGGGAGGACCCTGGGGAGCACCATTCGCCATGCTTCTGTGAGCCTCCTTCCCTCGGGAGGACCCTGGGGAGCACCATTCGCCATACTTTTTTTAAAAAAATTATACTTTGTAAAGACAGTCACAAAAGAGTTCTAGAAAGGCTGCAGAAATGCTTCAAACTGATGGGATAAATGTTCAAAGTGAGGGGTTATATTTTGAGAGGGATTAATAGCAATGTATCCCGTATTGTAGTGAAGTTTTAAAAATTACTGTGCTTTTTCAATCATGCCTTGCATCGTCCATCTAATAAATGTTAGCACTTTTGTATAAAACACCACTAGAAGGGACCATTATATGGGAATAAGTGGTTGCCATGGTTACTGTTTGGTCTGGTAACCCTGTCTGGTTTCATCCTCATCAAAATTTGTACCCGTTTTGTGTGTGTGTGGTCAGAGCTGATGCCTCAACAAGCTGAATGTAAATGCAGTACCAGCCTGCTACTTGCCAGCCGAGAGAGCACATGTTATGCGCCACATAAACCTTTAGTTCAATGAGAAGATTTGTACTAATAGTGTTCAGACAGGATATCATGTCTGCATCTTGTGCTACGAATAACTACTACGAAGACAACAATATGCAATGTATTAATTATTGTAACTGTCCTACTAACCTGTTTTGAAACCATCTCATTGCTATTTGTTTCTCAATAAAGTTAATAAAAAATAAAATAAAAAATAAACCTTTTCTTGGATGTACTGCCATAGCTATAACCTTCATCTCTCCCCTGAGACATGTTTTAAGAATTTTCCACCCCAGGAAGGCTTTGCAGGGCCCAGTGTCACTGCTGCCTGACTTCCCCAATCCTTCAAGGGAAAATTAATGCTTCTACTTGTCATTTACACAGCTTTGGTGTAGACCTCAGCTTTATAATTCATCATGTTGTATGAATATGTATTTAGCATGCACCACACTGTCATTATTAGTCAAAGAAGGGTCCATTTCCTGTACTAAATTGGGCTTTTGTTGGTAGTGGTGGGGATTAAACCCTGGGCCTTGTGGGTGATAGGAGAGCCACATGCGCATTCTGAGTTTCTTGATTGATGAAATGAAGCATTCCTCTTTTGTTTCTTTCTTTTTTTGGTGGAACCGGGGATTGAACTCAGGCCCTTGCGCTTGCCAGAGAAGCACTTATTCTAGTGAGCCATCTCCCCGGCCCCTCCTCTTTTGTTTCTGCGAACTTGGCATGATGGTGTGAATATAGGAGAAGCAAAGTGTGTTTGGTTGCTGAATGAATAAATGAATGAGCTACAGGCTCCGTTTGTCAGATGTTTCCAAAAGATCAGCCTTGGAATCTCAACCAAATTATTATGGGAGACAAGGGAGATAAGAACAACATTAGCACTTTACCGACCCTGGAGCACTAAGCAAACACAGGCTGTTTCCACCTGAGGGATAAATACTTGACTTGGTATCTGTAGACCTGGGCTTTGGTTTCTTAATTCTAACCCACATTTTTGTGACCCTGGAAGGGTGGAGTCCCTTTGCTTTATGAAGTTCAGTTTTTAAGCTGCTCTACTTTATGGTGGTTCTCTGAATGGGACACACAGTGGAGGAAGATTTGCATATGGTAAGGTATGATACTTATGAAGCATGTGATCAGAAAGTTCTAGAAAGGCTGCAGAAATGCTTCAAACTGGTGTGTGCCTGTAATCCCAGCACTCTGCAGGACAGTGGAGGGTCAGAAGTTTGAACTCAGCGTGGGTTCATCTGAGCAACGTAGTGAGAACTTGCTTTGTAAAAACGATATATGGCATGATATTAACTGAGAAGTTGAAGTTGATATAGCTGGGAATGCAGCCCAGTGAAAAAAATCTTGGATTCAGTCTCCAGTACCAAATAAATAAGTAAATAAACACACATGCTCAAATGTAACATAGCGAAAACTTTGCCCACAAGAATGTAAGACAGTGAAAACTCTGCTCTCAAAACCCCCTGCAGCTTAGTTGGTGATACATGTATTTGAATGACTCATTTGTAACTGACAGTTTTGCGCTTAAGTAATCAAAAATGCTTGACTATTTGCAATTTGTTATGGTTCAATTTGATAGATGCACAAAAAGAAATTGATGTCAAATTTGAAAAACAATGAGGGGAAATGAACTTTTCAAGTGCTGCGTCAGGGTTGGCTATTGCAGCCAGAGTTTCAGTAAAACAGGCAAAAGGAGAAAACATATACATCCCAGAAGACATCAGAGATCAGAGATCGTTTGGTTTGTACAAAGGGTGGAATCAGGATTTGGGTTCTGGTTCTGCGGATCCTTTCATTCACTGAGGGTGGCAGTGTTATACAGGTAGTTAGGCATTCGGGGGCTCGAAGGACATAATGAATCAAAGCAATATGCTTTGCCAACTGTAGTTAAACAAACACAGACCTCATTCTGATGTACTTAATCATCTTGTATGTCTCACGCTAAAAATCTTCCTACAGAGCTCAGTGAAATCCTAGGGGCATGCCTTGCACATAGTTACTAAACACAGTCAGCCAAAACACCCAGGCCACTTATTTTTTAAAATAAATCGAAGAAGCATTTCACATTCCTAGTTGTTATGGCCGATGACCCTCTGATATAAAAACGAATAAAAGCATAATATTTTAAGATCTGCCACATTGGGCTAAGAACTTAGGAACAGTCCAGGGAAAAATGTAATCTCTAAAATCACCAACCAGCGAGTCCTAATCAAGTGCTGATGAGCCTCACAGACACTGGGGACATTTTACCAGACCTTGCAGAAACGACTTATTTCAAGACCTTTTCATCGACGTTTGAAAGGACTAACAGAGGATAGTTGGGCCAAAAAGGCAGAACTTCGTAACAAAAATATCATTTAAATAAAGAGGCTGGTATCCCACACAAGGGCTGTCTCAGCATTCCCAGCTGTCTTCCTTAGCCTGCCCCTGCGTTTGCAGCAAGTCTCCTTGGCCCCTCCCGGCGACTGCCTGGGCCACAGGAGCTGAAGTCTGCAGGCGCTGACCACAGGAGCGTGCCTGCGCCAGCGAGGGCCGGACACGCCCAGCGCCCAGCGCCCAGCGCCCAGCGCCCAGCGCGGGGACCTCCAGCGGTCAGCCAGGCCTTCTCCTTCTGCTCCTAAGCGCTTCCCCAGGAAGTGCTGAGCTTCACGGTGCCGGTCCTCACCCCATGCTTATCCAGGGAGCCCAAGAACCAGGATCCTACTCCTCTCTCTTCCCCTTTTGCTACAGGGATCGAACCGAGGTCCTTGTACTTCTTTTCAGGAGACAATGTCACTAGGTTTCCCAGTTTGAGTCTTGAGATTTTCTAGCCTCGGCCTCTTGAATAACATTAGCAGCTTTGTAATGTCTAATACTGGGAGAAATTACAGTGTTCTGTAGATTCTGTCTCTATCCTTACTGGGTGGAAAATACATTCAGTTGGGGGAAAGGATTTCACGTGTGAAGTACAACTTAAGGTTTCCACCTTTGATTCAATGCTTGTTACCACTTTGTACCACAAGGGGGCACAAAAACCTCATCCATTATTTAAGTGAATCGAGAGCCTTTCCAAAGCTGTGAAGGTGCTCGACAAATAACAAATGTTTATGAAAAGTAGAATAAGAGCGATGAATAATTAAGATTATGGATTTCTTCTACCCTGCTTTGAGAGTTTGCCAGTGGGAGGAGGGGCGCTGGCGAGCACCGAGGAGCCCCAGCGGCCTAGCGCCACGCGGAGACGCTGCTCTCAGATCGCCTCGTACTTTCGCAGGGAGTCGGTGCTTCCCACTTCTTTGCAACATTTTGGGCCGCGGAGACGTTTTAGACCCGAGCAGAAAATGCCGACTTGCCTCCCCAAGACTTCCCGCCGGGCGGCGCAGCCCGCCTGGGGTTCTAGCCGAGCAGGCAGGAGGCTGCAGCCTCAGGCCCGTCGGTCCTTGCTCCCCTCGCCCTGGGCTCGCTGCCCACATATTTTCTTGAAAACTAGCATCAGAAAATGGAGATCTTGAGAAATTTAAACGCGAAGAAACCTCATTAGTATTAACATCGGGGAGATGGCTCAGTAGAATAAGCGCTTCCCTGGCAAGCGCAAGGGCCTGAATTCAATCCCCAGTTAAAAAAAAAAAAAAGCCAAGGTATTAACATCGTAAAGGCTTTAGATTTTCCATGTCCCTCGCTGTGATAAAATGGTGCCCTTCACGTTCTTAGGGACGCGTCAGCGCTCTGTGGCAGCTAGCGGTGCTGTGGTATTAGAATCCTTCGCTGTGTGCACGCCCTTGGGCAACCCATCAATCTCACCAAGCCTCAGTTTCCTTGTCTGTAAAATAGGTCTTACTCTGCAAGTCTCCAGGAAGGCACAGGTTTTGTTCCGTTTACCTCCTTGTGTCCCCAGTAGCTGGAAAAGGGTAGGTCAGGACAGAAAGAGCACACAGAGCTCAGGTGTACGTGGAACACGAAGCAAGCTTTTGCATTCCAGTACTGGTATGGATTAGGAATAATTGTGTTCAGGATCCATCCATAGGAAAGCAACAAAATGTAGTCATTTTCAAATAGTCAAACATGTTTCTTTGCCTTTGTAAAAAATGTTTTATTCGTAGCTAAGTACATAACATTACATTAAATTCACAGGGGCTCAAAAATGCTTTGAGCTCTGCAGACTGTTCACAGTACAGAGAAATAAAATAATCTTGTTTTCAGTGACTTAACACATTCCACAAAGAAGACATTCTTGCTCTTTAAAAGTTGACTGGCATTTCCAGGCATGGTGGCACCCACCCGTAATCCCAGAACTCAGGAGGCTGAGGCAGGAGGACCACTGAAAGCTCCAGGCCAGCCTGGGTTATACATAATGAGTTCAAGGCCAGACTGAACTGCATAGTGAGAACTTGTTTCAGAAAGCCAAGACAAAGTCAGAGCGTTGACTGATGTTAAATGGAGACTAAAATATATTTTGAAATGTCTGTTAGGGAAAATAGGTCCATAAATTCCAATCTGGTAAACAATGTTGGTCACATAGTAGAGTGGCTAAAGTACAGGATTTTGAGGTGAACAGCCGATGTTGGAACTCAGTGAGTTTCTTTCTCTAAACATTTGGCCTTGGTCAAATTATTTGATCTGTCTAAAACCTAATTGCATTATAGTTATTTCTTCTTAACATTTATACATACTAAGCGTTGAATCTGATGTCAGAAGCCAGAACCTGGCAGGACAAAGTTAGCTTCAACATCATCGCCAGGGTCATTGTCACTGCTATGACCTCCACTATTATAGCCCTCATCCTCCTCCTTTTTAGTACCCTCCACCCCACCCGGTTGGTGTTTGTCTCAAATTCTAATGTAGGATCTTTGACACTGGGACTTAGAAAGTTCAACTTGAACCATGGTCTTAATATAATTTTATTTGAATAATATTAATCCTGGATCATATTGTTGGCATTTTTATTATTCTATTACATTTCTTTGCTTTCATGTAAACCAGATAGTAGAATTATATTTATTTTATGGAAAAATTTACAAGTGTTATAATAATTCTTTTATCTTTGAATAACAATGTGGCACATGCCTGATACTTAAAATTTATTGAATGAACAAATTACATAAAATGTATAAAAACATGCAAATTTAAGCATAATCCTATTCTGTATTATTGCTCTCTCACTTGATAATGACAAACTTGTGACCCTTTTAGATATTTATGTGATGTAGAGGCAGCTAGACTTGGAGTTCGAGTATAACTTGACTCCTTCCTGAACTTTCAGTTTTATATTTTCTGCTAAGTCACTCCAGCTTGCAGTTTCTACACGACAAAACTCCCCAGTGTATTTTCCTTTACAAATGTAGGAAAGAAAGCACAAGTGCCAAATTGTTGTTTTAATTAGACCTACGCTATATACTGTAATGATTATTGCTACTATTTTAAATTTTTAGAAGTACTTCAGCTTTATTTTTAAAAAGTAATCTGCGTGACAGCCTGCTAAGATCTCCCTCTCTGGTTACTAAGGTAATAACGTTGATAGTATGACTTGATGATAATTAATACTCCACTAGTTGTAGTTATATTAACTATTTCAGAGTCTGCCTTTCTCAACTCAAGCTCTCCATTCTCTCTGCCACCGTCCCTGCGGAAGGACCCTGCTTTTTTATGTTAAAGGTTCACAATTCTCTTCTCATCATACGAACAAACTTTCTCTCAGAATACAGTAAAACCGGGAGTAGCTGAGCAATACTAAATTAAATTGAAATTAAATTAAACTTCAAACCCCATTGACTTCCTACACTGTCCTAAACAGCCCTTCTCGTGCCTTAGGATCCACATGGGAGCTAAGTGCCCTTCGTATCTCTCCATTTGGTTTCTGTTCTCTCTTTATTGTGGTTCTTTTTGACAGGCAGGGGGCATGAGTTAATATTTCTATCCCTTGAGAGAATGTGTGGTTAATTTAAAAGAAAAAGAACGATGTTGAGCAGTAGGTATGAGCAAAAATAATACATCATTTTAATTTTCAGTGTTTCGCTATTGTTGGATAGATGCACAATGTATCCAGGAGCCTTACTCGTTGCGAGAAGGCCGGATGCTCCTGCATAAATCTCTCGACTATGTACCTCAACAGCAGTTCTAGCTATCACATGGTTCTCCAAGGTCCTCAAAGCTTACCACATTACAGTATTTAAAGATTTTCCCACTGTGTGAAACCGAAAAGCCCAACAGGGTAAAAGAAGAAGCAAATTGCCTACTCACGGGGGTACAGCTGAAGGAAGCTGTCCATTTTGGTTGGCCTGGTCGTGTTCAGTTGCTGGGCAATATTCTGATCTGCTTCATACTCAACAAAGAATTGAAATAAAGCAATCATGGAAGCCTCCAGGCCTATGGCCACGAGAGGGAATGTGAACCTCATGTTGGTCGCTAAGGACAGAGACACACTGAGGACCTTCAGGCTGTGAAAAGTTGATAAGAACGGAGGCGGGCTGTGTGTGAAAGCAGGCTGCAGCCTTCAGGCATCCAATGACGTCCCAAGAAGAGCTGGGCAAGAATGGTTGAAACATCCCGCCCACTGGAAATTATGCCTGTTAATCTGACTATAGTTTTGAATGTTAGTTTGAAGTACGTACAATGTAGATTGAGAAAAATCTTCAGTTGTGTAGTGTAGAGTGGAAGATACCAAATTATTCAGTACACGAATATCCAGAATCTTACTGAACTTAAATCAGTAGGCCCTCCTTAAGTGCTTTTTGTAGGGTCAGGGGGTATGAGTTAATGTTTTTAGCCCTTGAAAGAACTTGTGGTTAATTCAAGAGATAAAGAAGAACACTTAGCAGTAGGCATAAGATGCAACAATAATACCTTATCTTAATTTTCAGTGTTTTGCTCTGATTGTTGGATAGACTCATAGTGTATCCTAGTGCCAGAGACTGTTCTAGGCTGTTTATGAGACACAAATCTAAACTTCCTAGAAGAAATCATGGATTGAGTTGTGGAGGCAGAAATATAAGCAAATGATTCTATAGAGACAGACAAGTAACAAAATGGTGGTTATAAGAGTATCAGAAGACATAAATGATTATAAAGCACAATTTTACTTTTGATATCCTTTGCCTTGGGCTAACAAACATTAGGTGAGATGACATTGATATGTAAACTAGAAAAATGAGATATTGCCAGTAAAAGAGACAAAAGGAACAGCATAAATCCTGGAAGAGCATGGCATGTTTAAGGGACATAAGCAGTTAGGTAAGCCAGCTGGCCAATGGCGAAGGAAAGGGGCGTGGGTGGAGATGAAGCCGTCTCCCAGCTGGACTGCGGGATGCGAAGGGTCTCCCAGGCACCCCTGAGGGTGTCAGCTAGGGAGTACTAGCCCACTGACAATGGGCAGTATGGAACAGTATAAGAAACAGTGTGGCCTTTTCCGTATGTTTTCTTTCTTTGAAATTAATTTATGCAATGTTATTTTTATGTTTTTATTACAATTGTTAGCTTATATTAATTGTATAAGATAATAGGTTTAAGCATGTGATTTTCAGCCATGCATATAATGTGCTTTGATTGTGTCACCTCTCCTAGTCCTCTCCTAAGCCCTCTTTAGTGTCTACTTATGCTGTGTGTGTGTGTGTGTGTGTGTATGTGTGTGTCTTTTTGATGTTTTTTCCACAATCGAACAAGAAATCTAAATGATATCTGAAATTTTATAAATATGTAACTCAAATATTTGGAAAATGGTATATCTGGTGATCCTGCTGGTGGCCCCGTGGAATGGCTTCCCATGCCTGCCTACAGGGACACACCTGTACATTCTGCATGGTGGTGATTTCTGGCTTTGTAGCTGCCTACAGAAGGTTTGTGAGAATGTAAACAAGCCATAAATTTAGGGCTGTTGAGATAGCTCAGCGGACTAAGCGCCTACCTAGGCAGGAACAGGGACCAGAGTTTGACCCCTCTACCACATACCACACTGGTCCTGCCCTGGGGTGCACTGAGCTGGTCACCGAGCCGGGGCATGGTGGCACATGCCTGTGATCCCAGTGCTGGGGAGGCTGAGACGGGAGGATCACTACTAGTCCGAGTTGCATGGTAAGACCCTGTGCCAAATTCATAAAAACAACCCATAAATTTAAAGAATTTCTATTGATCAACTATACAAATACTCATGAAAATAGCAACCAATTATATTCTGCAAGAACATCTTAGCAATATTATAAATTAAAACACTCTCCCATCCCACTCATTCTCCATGACAGTTCTAGGCAGTGACCAGCCAGCACACTGAGAACCGAAGTTCCTTTTGAGCCACTTAGTGAGGCCGTGGAAGGATTTGGGTTCAGTGTGTCCCCTTCGAGGGCTTCAGGCTCGCTGCTCCTCTTCGCAGCGTGACTGCTCTATGGGAATGAACTGCCTAAGTTCATTTCCAAGGTGGGTCACGAGCTATTACTCTTCTTCAGGTTTTCACCCGCAATTTCCTGTCTAGGTAAACCGCTCCTCCCCGGTTCTCTCCTTTCACCCCACAGGCAGCATCCTTCATTTCGCAGATAAAGCCACCTGCTTAGCCAAGTGTTCCTCGGTCACCTATTTTAAGTGAGGTTCTTACTACGCTCTCTCTGTTAGTCAGCTTTCGGCCCTTATATTTTGCTCAGCAAAACTCTAGGAGGAAAGGTTTATTTTGGCCTCAGCTTTGAAGGTTTTAGGCCAAGTGTGGGCACAGCTATTGTCTTGGTCACTGGTGGGAGCACCAGATGACAACGCAAGGGGCAACCTGCTTACCTTCTGGCAAAGGGGAGAAAGGAGGAAGAGAGGGGCCAGAACCCCATAAATCACTTTGATAACACACTCCAATGACTTAAGGGCCTGGCCCTGCCTCTTAGTCTTTATTACCACCTAATAATGCTACCTTGGGGCCGAAGCCTTTACTTCAAATGCCTGTGGGGGCTATTTCATAACTATTGCACTTTTACTAAATCATGGTCATTGCCTAGCACTTAGCATAGACGGGGGTGTGTGCTGTATCTCCGTGTAATTTAGATGAATGTTTCTCTTACTGCTCTGTGAGCTTTGCAAGGGAGAGGCTGTTTTCTCTTTCACATATCATCTGTTACCTGTAGTTACTACTATGCTCTACCTGGTAGAAAATAATTAAATATTATTTGAGTAAATCAAATTAAGGACAAACCTGAAGGAGAAAAAATCTCAGAAGGTGACCCACACGGTGTGAGGGAAGGAGACAGGGAGAGTCTTCTCTTAACAAATTGTTCATACAAAATAGTTAGGATAGATATACAGCCATTTTCTCTTAATTCAGTAAGAAGGAAGATCTGTACTAATAGTGTTTGGACAGGATGTCATGTCTGCATCTTGAGCTATGAATGACTACTATAAAGACAACAATATGCAATGTATTAATTGTTGTAACTCTCCTACCAACCTGTTTTGAAACTGTCTCATTGCAATTTTTTTCTCAATAAAATTAATAAAAAAGCCTCAAATTGTATGCTAAATTATGCACAGCAACCTTAACAATGTCTGCAACTCCTTACTCTAATCAGGGAGGGTCCAGTGATTGCCATCTCTGTGAGTGGAACACAGCTGAGAATGAAGCACAAACCAAGAACCTGGAAGGACCTAAGATCTGAGAGGGTGGGACACATGGCAGTGTGACCCTGAAGTTGCCAACACCCTGTACAAAAATCCCCCTCCAGGCAGTGCTAGGTCATGAAGGGAGCATGCTGGAGGGCACAGGCATGTGTGGGGACAGGTGACTTGTCTGCCGTGTCTGCTCTGAAACCCCAGTCTGGCTCTCCTTCCTGCCTTGCAGTAAGAGGGAGTGGCAAGCTGGAAAACATGTTGAATGGGCAGTCATGTTTCCGTTTTTGACTGATTCTTGACTTGCTATGTGCCTTTAGAAAAGTAGCACAATATTTTCTGTCAATTATTGAGTACATGTAGAGCACATTTAATACTTGTTAGGCACTTACTAATGAATAATGATTGCAATAGGCCCATCACTCTTTTGAGATTCATTCTCTCCCTTTCTCCCTCTCTCCCCCTCTTTCCCTCCTTCCTTCTCCCTCCTCTCCTCTCTTACTCCCTTCCCTTCCTTCCCTCCCTCCCTCCCTCTCTCTGTCTCCCTCTCCTGCCCTCCCCC